CCGTGTCAACATTGGCAGGCTGAGATTGATCGGGGTAAGGGAATGGGCGTCATGCTATTTCACGTGGAAGCAAACCTGGATAGTTTGGTATGCTTTAGAACATAAATCTGCTACTTGATTCATTAGTGTGTTTAACATAGTATGCATCGTTTTTGTCCAGGTCAGAGCTTGTTCGAGGGTGGATAGAATTCTTGGTGTTTTGGGATGGTCTACGGGTTGCAGCTGGGCAATCTCATTGGAGAACCAACAGTTTCTAGAACACTAGTTAATAGTCCAAGTGCTGAGTAGTTCACTCAGCTACTGATTCTGGGAAAAAAAATTGTAAAGAGAACCAATTTTCTTTTTCTTACTGGGAATTCAGTGGTTAGTTTATCGGAAACTCGTGTATAAAATAAATCAGAAGCCAATATGAGCCGGTGGAGTCGGGGAGCCTAGACTTCATATAAGGAAGATAACTATTTTTAAGAGTGCAGTATGAAGGCATTTGCAGAAAAACAAGAAAAACCTCATCAAACGAGAAACATGTATTCACTCACTACTCATTCTAACCTCTATTGGAGTGTTTGGTGAGCGGTTAATTTCTTTCTGCTCCGGTGTTTCATAATTTTAACGCGAGGAAATTAGATTGATTCGGCTGCTTTCTCAGGTGTATCATTTCAGACAATGAGGCCGAGCTCAAGCCAAAGAACCAGGTGCGCGAAAACCACGACAGGGCCGAGAGAGTATCATCTGCCTGGATGAGTAGTTGATTTGTGTGTTGCAGCAAGTTCCACGCGAATATTCCATCTGTAAGTATTTTGTAAGAAAATTTCATTATCTTAGGAAGTTGAAAACAAGACTTGAGATTGAAGGATCCTTCTATATGTATATAAAAATTGACACATTGATTTACACATGTGAGTTGGCAGATTTTGGTACGTTAATCTTGACAACTCATTTTTCAATTAACTGTCAAAATTTTGATACAAGGAGTGTTAAATAAGGTGAACACTTTGTGTGTACAATTAGTTTAATCCAAGACTGAAACGGAATCACCTGTTCAAAGATAAAACAAAATTTGTTCATACATCATCCACTTTTGAATTAATATTTAAGATATGCACACGATATGTCAGATATCGGAAAAACTTATTAAAAGTTTTTGCTTACATTCATAAACCTCTAAAGATCCAAAAGTTGTTTTCTCTAGCTTTTCATATTAAAAGTAGAAAATTAAAACCAGAGAAATAATGTTTCATTCTCCTTTTTGGGCATTTTGTAGATGCTAATCTAGCGGGTGTTTGATACCCATTTTTTGGAGTATAGAATTTNAAAAAAAAAAAAAGCAACTCACCAGAATACTTTTTTTATTTAGAGGGTGTTTGACACCCATTTTTTGGAGTATAGAATTTTTGGAATAGTGATTGATGGGAGAATGTGTGGTGGAAAAGTTATGAAAAGTTTTACATTTGTGTGTAATATTATTTTATTGGGAGAATGTGTGGTTGAAATGAAGAAAGAGAAAAAAATGAAAATGAGAATGGGTGCCAAACAGGGGCCTATTCAGTTCTTGTCTAGAGTAATAATTTTTCTCACAATTCTTGTTGTCAATATTCTCAGATCCGTCATCTAATCTTTGAGGGCCTGCTTGGGAGTTTTATTTTCATTAGTTTTGATCGATTTTTGGTGGCATTGTTTATGAGAGATTGGAGAACCGGTTGGATTTTTTGGGTGCCGATTTTAGATGGCTTAAAAATCACCCAAAAATAATGTAGTGTAATCTGATAAGTTCTCTCAATCAACTAATCGACGAGTTTTTATCGTTTCTCAAATTTTCTTTTACTTTTACCATTTATAAAATAATTATTTTTAATAAACATATTTTGTTTAATTCTAACTTTTAAATAAAAATATACTAACTAAAAAAATTANCGTATTCTTTTCTAATTTTTACTCTTCATAAAATAATTATTTACAATCAACATATTTTGTTCAAAACTAACTTGTGAGTAACTATATTAACTAAAAAAATTATTTATAAGCAAAAAAATTATATTATAATTAAATAATTGCTTATAAGTAAAATATTACTTACAAGATTAAAAAAATTATTTTTTGCATAAAAATCTAACTAATAGGACAAAAATCACTTATAAAATATAAAAAGTTATTTATAAGTAAAAAATTCACTTATGTGTAAAAATTATTTAAAAGTACAAATTAAGCTCATGTTTGAGTTACATTAAAATTTTCATTCTCATTCTTTTACTCATTTTCAACCATACATTTTTCAATAAAATAATATGTTTCATCGTATCAATAACTTTTCATTCTTTTTCAACCGCATATTCTTCATCAATCTACTATTTCAAAATACATTCTTCTAAAATAATGTTGATCAAACACACCCTAACTTGTAATTATAAAATTTATATATAATTAAGAAATAGTAACATAAGATTTTAAGTAAATATTTAACTCTATTTAACTTTTTAAGTTAAATTTAAAAAAATTGCATATATGTAAAATATCACTTATAAGTAAAAAAAATATCATACAAAAAATCAAAAACTCAAAATTTCACTAAAGAACGGATATGTAACTATACATTTTTAAAAAACTTTTAGAACTAATGACTAATAAACTCTCAAATATGAGTTGGACATTTTAACGCTACTAAAACTACTTATAATTGGTTTAATCAAAATCGATACTTTAAAAAACGCTCATAATCAATATGTCGGAACTTCCAAGCATATCATAAGTTGTGTACAACTTCTCTTTTTAGTTGATCTTATGTAATGCACACTCATTTTGACAATTAACATTTTTCTAGAAGGATCTTTCTCATATATCTTCATTATTTGATTTAACTCAAGGGTGGGTCACCAGAATATTAAATTGATATATTGTGTAGTTAATTAGCCGTAATAATTGATTTTTTTAGGTGAATTGAATTTTCCTAATTTAGTTTGTGTAAATTGTTGCTACATCATCATCATCATCATCAATCAATTCTTTTCTTTCCGGATACAGATGCGCTCTAGAATTAATGGCATATTGATAAGAAAAGAGTCTTTTCAATATTATTCCATTTTGTCTAGGTTTCGTCTAATAGAAATAAGTTAGGTAGTGTTTGATAGCCTTTATTTTTCTTGAAAGTTAGAATTTTTTTTTCTATTTTCCATATTTTCAGTTGTTTGATAGGTATAATTTCTTGGGAATTGGTTTTCCACTTGAGGTGCTCATGTGACCCATTTTCTTCGAATTTGATGAAAATTTTTACCCATCATTTTGGTGTGAAAAGTTTTTCCAGGCCACTGCTGCATTTTTTTTTTATTTTTTGCATTGAAAACAAATGTCATAATAAATTCTAAAAAAAATTCACATAGATAATTTTCATGTAAAACAAAGTAACACTAAACTTTAATGAAATAAATGATTTTTTAGGGGAAAAAAATATTTTTTTGGCAATGGAAATAAATTTTATAACCAATTGTAGAAAAATTTATCACTCCAATGGACAATTTTCATGTAAAACAAAGTCAAACGAATACAAAAATTTAAAATTTTTATAAAAAAAAAGTAAAATGATTCTCCTAAGATACAATTTAAGACCTCGAACTTTTAGTGCTTAATTCTTAAATTATCCACAACTTGTATTTATGGGTCCCATACTCCCATTTACCCTATGGTTCTAGGAGATAAATTGAATGAAGAAAATTGCACCACGGCGCTTCAACTCATAACTCTCAATGCAATTTCGTCATATCATATTCATCTCTTAAAATTCGTAGCCTCGATAACTTTTAATAGATGATTTTTAAAAATAGAAAATATCTTAGAATTGATTTGAAAATTGGCGAAAGAAAAAAGTGCGTAAAACAAATATAAGAGTCAAAGGAGACGTGAAAAAAAATTAGGTTAGCTAAATAATGAAAAAAATGGAAGGTTGAAAATTGAGGTAGTCATAATATTAGGTTATGGACTTTGGTAATTTTTCATAGCAGACGTGAAAATACCAATACCGCAATAGGATGTGATTATGAAAGTCAATTCAAAGAATCTAAACCCCTAACCTAGTCTTCATCAAGGAGATAAACATCTTTGCTTGGAAGCCGCGGAATACCAAAATTAGTACTCAACTCCCTT